TGCCATGCTGCTCCAAATACATGCGTGTGTGTGGAAACATCTCTCGCTGACCTTTCAGCCGATGTTCGGTGTGCTATATGTGTGCTATGGGACACTTATTCAGGTCAGTTAAATAGTTTTTTAACCAAAACATTTGTCTCATATCTCAGAAGGTTAAAAATATAAAATAAAGACGGCTGACTCAAGTGAGCAAAAGCAGCAAATTTTAGAGGTTTATGTGAAAAAGCCCGGAAAAACAGGAGCTTTTATTTTGGAAACCTGCTATGATAAATACATGTGACTAACTTCACACAATCTGAGGTCTTTCTGAGCATCATGAAAGCTTTCTAACAAATTATATTGTTTTATTTTGAAAATCTAGCAAAATAGACAAGTTCCAGTAACTAAATAGATGATTTTTTTTAACTACAGCAAAAAAAAAAAACAAAAAAAAAAACAAAAAAAAAACAACCGTCATCTTAAATAATCTCAATGAATTCCCAAATAACTAGAGGATTAAATGTAGAAAATGTGGTAACTTCCAATAACTAATGGATGCTTTTATTTTGAAAAAAGCGAACGTAACTTGTTTCACACAACCAAAAAAAGGCCTCTTATTTTGACATTCTCACAGAAATAAATTACCTTGATAACGTCTAGACCACTAATTAAAGGCTTTTATCTTGAAAAATCATTAAAAATTATTTTAGTCCTGATCCCCCCCTCCCCAAAAAGGATTTTTACTTTGAAAATATTGAAATAATTTAAGTAGTTTCAGGCTGTTTAACACAATAACATAATCAGCTTCTCTCTGATGTGTTTGAATAAAATGTTATTTTTGTTTATCCTAACTTCACGCCAGTCATTTTACTCATTTACGACTATAAAATGTCATAAAACAACCTTCCATCTGTGGCCTGTTGTTTCCTGTCGCCCAACAAAGCAGCGCAAAATGAGTTTCTTTCATACAGAAACGTCAGAAGCCAAACGCAGACCCCCTGAGACACGGCATCTACGTGTCTCACTCTGACACTGGTTTCTTTTTTTTTTCTTCATTGGTTTCTCCTAAAAACTGTAAAGTGTTGGACTTTTATTCTTTTCAAATATGGTGCAGAGGAACGTTTGAGTGCCAACAGTCTGAAGACACTCGGCCTTGAACTTGGACTGAAGGTTTTTAAAGGATTTTTCTGTGATCTTACAAATATAGAAAAGGCTGGTGTCGCGTTATCCGAGAGAATTTCACTAACGATTCCTCACAGTCCTCCTCCGGGAGTCACATGTGATGCCTCCGTGACTCTCTGAGTGTTTTTGTGCATTTGACTCCAAATGAAAGCTGGAGCAGCAGTAACCCTCTCACCTGACTCACCTGACTCACCTGTGCTGCCCGGCACGTGACTGAATCCCTGAGAGCTTGAAGCACAGACAGCAGACAAAGTGTTCACTAAAAGCAGGTTGTGAGATGTTGTTCTTGGAGGTTCATTTAATCCTAGCACGGCCAGCTCCGCTCGTGTGGATTTTGTAGTCATAGTAACACACCTGGGGACCGGGTTTCTGGCTCTCCCTGATTTCTTCTTCGTGATATGGCTTCTAAAGAGACTTGCGGCTATTTCTGAGGTTAACTTAGACTACAGGGCTCGGAGGGCTCGGATTAGGACGCGGGGGTCTTCTTCTCCTTCTGCCGCAGGTGAATCTTCATGTGCCGCCTCCTCTCATCGCTGCGTGCGAACTTCCTCCCACACTGGTCGCAGGTGAACGGCTTCTCCCCGGTGTGCGTGCGGATGTGCGTGGTCAGGTGGTCGCTCCGGCTGAAGTTGCGCATGCAGATGCGGCACTGGAACGGCTTGTGGCCGGTGTGGATGCGCAGGTGCCGGCTCAGCTCGTCCGACCGGGAGAACCGGCGGTCGCAGCTCTCCGCCGGGCACGGATACGGTCTCTGGTGCACGGGGGTCTTGCTCGGGCGATTCGGGTACTTCCGGGGTCTTAAGATGGGCCTGAGGGGGAGGTTCTGGTGGCCGGGGAAGGGGGCGGCCGCCGGGCCTTCGGGCGCGCTGAGCGTAAAGTTCCTGATGGTGTTGAGAGGCGTGAGCGGCGGAGGCACCCGCAACGAGTCCAGCGGGTACGGGAGGGCCTTCCTCTCCGGGAAGCCGGCATGCATGTCCCTCTGGCAGCTCTGCGGGTAGAAGCCTCCGTACTCCGGCACGATGGAGAGCAGCGCGCCATCAGCGGCCGGTTTGGGCGCAGAGCTGTAGGCGGGAGGCGGGTGGTAGGACACCGCGCAGGTGGAGGTGGACAGGTAACCCTGGTCCTGGTACACGTCCCCGCTGCAGGAGTAGGACTGGGGCGGGTGGGGGTGTGAGTGTGGGTGGGGGGGCGCGTACATGTGGCTGATATCCGGCTGGCCGTGCGCCATGTTCCCGTCTCCCGCTCCTCCTCGTCCTCCGCCTGCTGCTTCTCCCGCGTAAACGTTGGGTGATGCTGATCCGGACCCCTGTGCCGGTCCCGGGGGGGCGATGTCCGCACTGACCACGTTGATCACGTCCCCCTGCGCCCAGCCTGGCCCCCCGCTCCCGGAGTCCAGGGAGAACCTGCCGCTAAACGCCACCGGCTGCGTGCGTAAAGTGGCCACGTACTGCGCCAGGTGGCCCTGGAGAGAGAGCTCAGGTGCGCCGAGATCACCTGCAACACAGAGAAGAGCGCAGTCAGACACATTCACAGGAACAAGCTCAGTATCTCCATCTAACTTGTCCGTCCACATCCTCGAGTGTTTGAAACACACGAACGCTTACCGCCTCCATCCCCACCACCGTCCCGCCCTTCAGCTCCCTCCGGCCCCACGGCCTCCTCCTTGAACACCATCACCGTTTCTGCGCACACATCTTTGGGAGCACCGTCTGGGATGCTGCCGAGAGACGCCGAGACTTCAGCCGCCGTCTTCGCGCTCATGTTCACCGACTCTCAGACGTGTTCGGTGTCTTCCCTCATTTTCTCCGGTCCGCCTCTCATCCCTCGGTAACCACTCCGCGGAGGCGCGGCGGGGTTATAAAGGGAATCTCCCGGTGTCCCGTTGCGTCATTCACCAAATATGGAGTCGGGTTTAAAAATAAGAATAATAATAAAAACGGAGAGGGAACTCCAGAAATAGGAGCTTCCCGTGACGAAACACGGACCAAATAAACGATGCTCAGTTCATTCGCAAAACTTCAGGAGTGGATTTAAATTTTACTGCTCAGTTTCAGCATGTTGTCACTATCATGCGCACGTGCTTTGCGTTGTTTTGGTTTCATATAAAGGGGGAAGGAGAGATGTTCCATTATTCGGAATTCCGGTCCCCCTGTCTCCATAAAAGGACTCTCCGGTGAGGTGAGAGGAGCTCCGCCTACGTATATGGCGGTATCCGGTTAAATTGGGTTGCATTGTGTTGTCTTCGTGCCAGCTGAGCCCACACACTGACTGCGCACACCCATTTGTTTTCGCTCTTGTCTTGTCAGGAACAGATTACTGCTCTGAGTCCGGCTATGGTTGGCCCGGTGTGATGGATGGGGGAGAATAATCATTGGAATCATCTCATCGCTGCTCTTGTACAAACATGGATGAGAGAATAAAAGAAACGTCCAAGCGCAGCTGTGCCTGACAAACATCAGATCATCAGCCGAGAGTCCTGTAAGTTAAATCTGAGGATCAGGAAGTGTTGAAACGTGTAAAATGACCAAACAGGCTCTGTTTCTGCATTTAAACCTTCTCTGAGTCTCTCATCCCCAAAAAATTATTTGCAGGTGAGCTCAGAGCTCTCGGTCTGCGAGCATGCATGAACATATTAAAGGTATTTACTGGTTTAG